GTATCAAAGCAATTGGACTTGCGGTTTTCAACAAGAAGTCGAAAATATCACTTTTTACCAAAAATGATAAAAATATTCACCAAAATTAGAGAATTAAAGATATCATTACAAAATGAACAATTCTGAGAGAGGTCCACATGTAGTACCTATATATGTAATATCAAAGCAATTGCACTTGCGGTTTTTAACAAGAAGTCGAAAATATCACTTTTTACCAAAAATGACAAAAATATTCACCAAAATTAGAGAATTAAAGATATCATTACAAAATGAACAAATCTGAGAGAGGTCCACATGTAGTACCTATATATGTAATATCAAAGCAATTGCACTTGCGGTTTTTACCGGTAACAAGAAGTCGAAAATATCACTTTTTACCAAAAATGACAAAAATATTCACCAAAATTAGAGAATTGAAGATATCAACATGAAATGAACAAACCTAAGAGAGGTCTACCCAAGGTACATATACACCAAGTATCAAAGCATTCAGGCTTGTAGTTTTCAAGAAGAAGTCGAAAAAGTAAAACATTGACACGGACGACGACGACGGACAATCACTCATATGATAAGCTCCGCTCGACAAAGTCGACAGTGGAGCTAATAATCAAGGTCCCATAATGTCTAATGTATTTACCAAGTTTGAAAAAAACCCATATGTAAACAGCAGAGAAATGATTGATTTTGATGATTTTTTAGCACAAAATGGCCGCCATTCAGCCATCTTGAATCAGATCGTGAAACAAATCGATGTGCATATGTATAATATCATGTATGATGTATGTGTGAAGTTTGATCATGATTCGTCCAGGCATTTCTAAGATACAGGTCTGGACGCACGCACGGAAGCACGGACGCACAAGGGTCAAAACATATTAAAGTCCTTGTTTTCGGACTGCATCAGAACGGGGACTAACAAAATGTTGACCACCAACAGATTACCAGGGCCCAACGATGGCAGACACACCACCATTCCAATAACTCATTAGAAGATTTAAATAAAAATATAATCACAGTAACTGTATTATAATACACAAAAAATATGTAAAATTACCTGTTTTCTAAAAGTCCAATAATCGGTAGCACCATGGAATGTATGTAAAGCCCATTCTTTGAGAAGTCCTCTAGGTACAAGGTTACTCTGTACATCTTTTAGTATATCTCGGAGTACCTGATGACTTGCTTGTGACCCTCTGGATTGTACCGTCGCTAACCGATCATAGTAACGAACCACCGGGGAATCATGCTCTATATTCTTCTTAGCACACCGCTGTGGAATACAAGATAAACTTCTAGTAGATTAAAGTCTTAAAAAAATCTTTAAATGCTACATTAATAGCATTTTACTGAAATTTTTTACCAAATAAATTGAATTTCATATTTTTGAAAAAATAAAAATAATATTGCTGGTTTCGTATTTGAATGGTTCGAAGGTCGTAAAGCACCACAGTTGACGTACCACATCGTGTTTGATATGGGTCCCATGCAACATGTACAACGCCTGTGAAATACATTGTTTACACAACATCCGACTGCATCACTATAATTTAACCTTTTCACCACCAGTTCCCTCTTTTCATCACAAATTCAGAAAATAGTCCCATTTATAATTTGCACTTTTCTTCAGGAAAATGGGAAAAAATACCAAATTTTTGGATGTAAAAACTGAAAATTGACTCAAATTTTGTCTTTTGGCTCCAAAATTAGAGTTTTTCTCCAGAAATATTTTTGAATATAAGAAAAAAGTGCAGAAAAATTTGGCTGAGAAAATCTTGTGGTGAAAAGCTCAAACGTTGACAAGAAAACCAAACAAAATATATTTTCATATGGAGCTTATATTTGTTCTATAAAAAACATCCAGTCACATGTCAGCTCGAGGCTTTCAGTTTCTATCAGTTGATAGATCTGAAAACAGTTCGGAAGCTTTCACAGTAGCAACTAAAATACTGCGGAGGGATATATTGAGCAATGGATTGGTAATACATTCATTTCTAATGTAATTGAAGTCACAAATAGAAACATCTGGAGACATAGTCGTCAGATGTTAGTACTTTGTGAAGATAGAGAAAAGACTATTTTTAGAATATAGAGCTGAAAGGATAGACACTACCCAGGGACTCGGGTCAATAGAAAGCATCAGCCGAATCTGTAAAATTGAGTCAATTACTGCGATCAGACAAACAAAAGAAATTCTCCAGAGATTACATCATATAGCACTCGGGTTACAGAGAACATCAGACAAACTATTTCAGCCCCACCCCCCTCTCCCCAATCAAAGACGATGTCTCCCAGGAGATCACCACTTATACTGTCCTCTGTGATTAGACTTCGTTCTTTAAGATTCACACTAAGATTGTGAAATGAACCCCAGGTGAGTTGACAAAGCAATTGACTATTCCTGTCATTATTACCCACACGTTGATTGAAACAAGATAAGAGGGAAAGATTCTGTTCTTAAATAACTAACTCCCTCTGTGATTACTAAACTGTTTCTCCCGGGAAGATGTTATTCAGTTGAATTATGGGCCAGCTTGGAAGTAAACCGCAATGAATGAAAGTGGTGAATTACTAGCGAATGTAGTTACCCCAAATCTATATTTGTGAGGCAGTATTGTTCAATAAAGACAATTATCAGTACAGTAAAATGAACATGCGAAATCCATACAAAGTAAAACAAGCTGAGTAATTGAAAGCATCGTACAAGGGCACTGTAAGCTGACATTTAACCGCAACACAATGATTTGATTACCCACGGCCACACATAATAATATTTTAGTTTACCTCATCAAAACTACATAGCTTTAGACAAATTTTGTATCTGTTACATATATATGTATACATATGATTATCAAATTTTATTTCCATGGTGATGGCTTATACCACTATTAAATAGGGGAGGGTACATAGTTTTCTGAGATGAAGTTTGTATATATTACATATATATGACTATCCAACTTCATTTCCATGGTGATGGGTTATACTACTATTGAACAGGGGAGGGTATCTCGTCTTCTTAGATGGAGTTTGTATATATCACAATATATATGACTATCCAACTTTGTTTCCATGGTGATGGGTTATACTATTATTGAACAGGGGAGGGTACCTAGTCTTAGATGAAGTTTGTATATATCAAATATATATGACTATCCAACTTTGTTTCCATGGTGATGGGTTATACTACTATTAAAATAGGGAAGGGTATCTTACCTGTTTATAAATATCATTGAGGGATATGGATGTTGGATTGTCTTCCACTAATCTCATCTGCGGTGAGACAGCAATTACACGCGGCACTGTGAAATACAGATGACGCTTGGCAGTTTCCTTGGAGGAAAAAAAAAAAAAAACATATTTTTCATTGTATATGGTGAAATACTTTCAGCTGGAATTAATTTTCGCTGAACAGATTTTTTGTATGGAATTTACTTTTACTGATTTTTGACAAGTTGAATGTAAAATATAGGAAAAAAGGTATATTCGCTAGATTTTACTTTCAATGAATCATTCCTTCAGCGAAAATTAATTCCAAGCAAAAATAAAATATTTATAGTAGTTGATTTCTATTTCAAGGATAAAAAAAGTCTCTTACTTTTCTTTTGATTAGGAAGTGATTAAGCATTCTCAAAAGTTGAAGAACTCTTTCCTCTCGCCTTGATTCATTCAGACAGCCATCATTGACAACTAGATATGGATATACCTAAAACAGATAATACAATGCTAGTCTAATCTCTACAATATAATAATGAAGTCCAGTAATAGTAAGTATAGCGCCCTCTATGGTTGGATTCAGTAACCGTTCTAATTTATCAAAAATATTGGTTTGAAGAGAATCTTTGAAAGTTTACTAGTGATTGGCATATTCTGTGATGTAATCAAGATAAAGATACTAATAAGTAATAATAAAAATAGTATCAAAAGACAATCTGTTATAAACCAGAAATCAAAGGTAAACCAAATTTTAGCTTATGGACACTAGAGGGCGCTGTTGTATAAAAATACAACAGAATTTACCAAATATCTTATACTTATGTCTTATAACATGTTACACATCTTTTTGTGTCTTTCTTTATCTAATTGACATAATTTCTTATTGCAGAAGTAGGTCTTGATCAGAATTTATAAAAAAAAAAATTAAAAAAATGGTTTAGTTTAGTTTAGTTTAGATGCTTGATGTTTTAAATAGAGCTTGTAGATTACCTTTCCATTCTGCCCTCTGATATACAGTCTTCTGGCAGCTGTGTTGTGTTTCTGCACGATATCAACCCTTGGCATAAATCTAGCAATGTGTACGTAATAGTGGCCGTGTTTTGGCAGTAAGAATTCACCAGGAAGATCAACTTCAGCCGTGTTCATGGAAAAATTACTCAAAAATCGACACTTCTCTTCAATTAAAAATGACCTGAAAAGAAAAATGTAGCATCGTTATACTTCTAGATTTATTCATTGCAAATATCAGCATGGGAAAATTATGCAAATTAACACCATATATGGAATGCATCATGGGATAACAATGCAATCAAAAGATAAAAAAATGTGTAACCAGGGATAACTATGCAAATTAACACCATATATGGAATGCACTATTGAGGTAACTATGCAAATTAACACCATGTATGGAAAGTATCATAGAGTAACTATGCAAATTAATACTATATATGGAATACCATGGGATAACTATGCAAATTAACACCATGTATGGAATGTATCATAGAGTAACTATGCAAATTAATACTATATATGGAATACCATGGGATAACTATGCAAATTAACACCATGTATGGAATGTATCATCGAGTAACTATGCAAATTAATACTATATATGGAATACCATGGGATAACTATGCAAATTAACACCACATATGGAATTTCTAAGCCCTGTCTGTATGCATGAATATAGTTTCAATATTCATATCCTAACTATAATAATGTTTATGAACATAAAAAATAAATAAATAAAATGTGATAAAGTAAACTCAATGGCATACTTTGGCAGTAGTTTAGTCTTTGCTTCGAGTATCTTGATCCATTTTTTCAGCTTAGCGATTAGATTATGTAACTTCATAGAACCTGGGAGTGTGAAGTCAAAGTCTGTTGTAAACTGTCCTTTCAGCCTCTGGAAAACTGGATCCTGAGCAGTTGCTTGAGCTCGTCGAGCCAGAGACTCTGATGCCGAACTGGAGAATGTGGTAGCAACGCTCGAGACATTCTCAATACCCACGCCAAATGTACTGACTAACTTCTTGACAAAGTTCAACGTGTGCGGAGTAACCTGCGCTTCCGTAACTGATAAGAAACAAAGAAATTGAAATTATTGTTAAAGTTACGTCTTACGCATTTCACAAAGCATATTGTTAATTTAGCGAGAGACAAATGTTTGTGAAATTCACGAGTCAATGAAAACTTGACTGTGATCCTAACAACACACTGTGATACTGTGACTTTTATGAAATGATGTCATCACAATTGCCACTAAATCATCACATAACAAAAATGCATAGCTTATCAGTGTTCTCCACAAGGGGTTTTAGGCGGGCGGCCCGCCCATCAAGTTTTACGGCCGCCCAGTAACTCTCAACACCCGCCCACCAACGTACATCCAGCTGAAATTATTTGTAAAAAGCTTGCATTGTTCTTCCCAAGCCCAAACAAAAGAGTAGTTGCCCAACCCTTTATTTTGCTATTGTTTCAACAGTCCAAACATAAACAATGTCCATTGGAAGTCTGCAAGCAGTTATCAAGTGTATTCAGGGCAATGTGTCAGTCGCTTGAATTCATTGTCGCCCGACATTGTTGCCACTTATTGCTCACGATACGCAACTACAGTGGTTTCAATTTACAGCTGTATTTTTAATAATCGTCTTCCGATCACGAAAGAAAGAATTAAATACGAACGAAATGTATATGCACAGAAAATAAACAAATATAGTAGCAGATTGCATGTAAACTCGAACAAAAATTTTAATTCTAGCCGTATTTACAACGTT